GAAATACCTGTTTTGGTAGAGTCAGATACTCCAATTTCCACTCTGAAGAAAATATCGCGTTCGGGAGCTACTGTCCAACTTGTTTGAGGGTATCTTCAGTTTGATACTCAGGACAGGGATATTAGTAGGAGCGTAGGGAGACTACAATAAGTTGCTGCGCTGGTCAGTGGGAGGCCGTCTGCTCCACTTGGTTCTCTTAGAATCTAATCGAATCTAGTTAAACAGTTTAAAATACTACCCTTTTAGTCGCTAAGATTACAAAGCGGTATGATCCAAAGAGACTCCTTTTTCTATTCGCAAGATCTGAATAAAAATAGAGATTAATCGTCACATATCCTCATTTCTTAATTATGACAGTCTTTCTAGAGATATGCTCGCTAGTTACGTTACACGTTATTCATCATACGGCAATTTCGGCAGTTTAAACAGTAAACATACAGTACTAAGACAAGTTTCGGCTTATTGACGCAACAACCTTCGATTAATATTTTAATATCACCTCAGAAATTCTTCTACTCTATTATTTTGCATTAACGTTCTTTCTTCCTTGTTGTTGTAAACAACCTTTGTATTTTGAAAATATAAGGAACTAATTATGAATATTAGAACACATAAATACAAATTATTATTAAAATAAGGAAAAGTTAATATTTTCTTGATCCTTGTACTAAACACGCGGATAAAATTCTAAAATAAATTAATGATTTTTCTTTCCCAATTATTCCTAGTGTAGTTAAGGTAAAATTCAAGGAATTTTTTTTTTTTTCGATTTAATAACCTAATTTTCAAGGAACAAATTAAAAGAAAAAAGAGACGAAATCGAAAAATTAAAAAAAAATAAATATTCAATGGGGAACATCTAAATGACTAAATAATTAAGTAATAATGATGGTGTAAATCAACAAAATCAAAATCATTTCAAGTTTAGAATTTGATTTTTTGTTCTGAAACCGGTTCGGCAAACAACATGCTATTGACGTCGGAACACTTCGTGATATAAGTTCAATAAATAAATATTTTTTTTAGTTTTTAAATTGACATCCTGTTATTCTAAGGAGGGAAATTCTAAGGAGGAAAATTCTAAGGAGTTTATCGAAAATAAAATCGACATTTTTCCGTAATTCTGTCTCTAAAAATCATTATTTCTCAGGGAAATGGGAAGGGAGATTTCATACATTTTTCGTTCCTTAAAATAAAATTTCAATTCCAAAAATAAATCCCCAATGATAATTCCCAATAAATTATGCATAATTAACCGATTTCCCGCTTATCAGATCAAAGTTTTTAGATTTGCTATTAACAATATATCGAATTATTAGAAGTACGGCAATTTCGACTTAGATAATAAAGCACCGTTTCCACCGTGTTATCTCTAAGCATTGTCAAAATTCTAAATGATCCCATTTTTCGCCGAATTTTTTAGTAATTTAAGAAAACTGGGCGCAAACCATAAAATTTTGATTTTGTAACGATTCAGTTGAGCTAAATTATTGAATATTTCCATACTGAAAAATTGCAATTAGTTGTATAAGGTTAAGGTTTTTCAAGGTCCCCATTTGGATGTAAAAATATCCTATAATATTAGTAATAATTTTTCTTTTATTGCGTATTAATGTTTAGCTCCCCATTGCGCTTTATTTTAAATTATATAACAAAAAATTTTGCAATTTTAACATACAAAGGTATTGTGGCATTTTATGCAAATATTTATAAAAAATTAAAATTTTATTCATTTTTTATTTATTTTGTAAATTATAATTGGGTAACATACCAATTTACCTTTATTATCATATAATTATTATTTAAAATGTTTTTAGTTTTAAATGTCATTTTCATAATAATATTATAATTAAATAAAAAAAATGTAAATATTTTGAACATTAAAAATTATGGAGGAATTATTTAAAAGTTTATTAGAAAGTTTCTAATGTATGAATAATAAGGCATAAAGTACTCTAGTTAAGGCGAAACAAAAGAAGAAAGTGATATAAGAGTTGTAGTGTGAAGGTAATATGAGATTAATTTGATATGTTTTGGATTTAGGTAATTAGATCATGAATTTGAGCATATCAGGTAAAATTTTTTTTGTCGCATATCTTTTCTTAAACAATACTATGGCAAACAACATACGGTTAAAAAAATAAAGTACAAGTTTTTAATTAATTAGTAATTTGAGAAAATTTCCGCAGTTAGAGCTAGTAGTTTTGAATAACTCCGAACATTTTTCGAAAAAAAAATTTGGCAAGCTCAGAATTGACCGAATTCAATGAAATTTTTCTGAATTTTTACTATAGGTCGAGTTAAGGAGGATGGGTCGCTCAGCAAACAATCTTTGTAGAGAGTGTTGTGATGAAGAAGAGGAGGAAATGATGACCCACCTATTATGCTCAATGTTCGACTGCTGGGAACTTTTAACGAATGCCGATTTTTTTGTTGATTCCTAAGAAGTTTAAGCTGGTTCTACGAGAGAGAAAAGGGAAAGATTCAGCGGAACCACAACAGGCTTAAATAGTCTAAGCGTACTATTCCGAGGCCAAGTCGACCAAACCTGACCTTACCTGCTGAAGCCAAATGAGGTAGGTATTTCTTATTGCTAATAAATTAAAGAACGCAATTAGTATAATTTTCTTAAAAAGCCAATGAAAATTTTCTTAAAAAATTCAACTGTCTTCATATTGGTACTTGAACAATGTCTATTTAAAAATTAATTTATACACTCAATGAAACTCTCAAATATTTAAGAATTTCTCAATTGCCGAAAAATACTCATATATAGAAGTATACTCCAAATGTGAATGTATAGTTCATTTTTGCTATCTCGAGCTACTAGACCATAACAATCACATAAAATACATCATTTTATAATTGAGAATAATAATTATTAGTAAAATTGTTTTGTTTGTTAGAAAACAGAACATTAAAGTCTAATCTCTCCTGTTAAGAGTTTATAACGGAATACAAAATGTTAAAAATTCTATTAGAAATTTAATATTAATTTTCTCAAATTAGTTTCTTTACTAAAATTAAGAATAATGATGCAATGAGAATGTTATTTATATTAATTTTTAAAATGTCTTCATCCTATTTCTTTGGAACAAGAAATAAATCTTAAATTAACCCCACTCATATTTCTAAACTTAAAATAAAAATGTAAAATTGAAAAAGTAAAAATAATAAAACTTTGTTGTTCTTTTTTCATAATTAATTCACAAACTACACACAACTATTACGCTTTATAATGTGTAAGAATAAGATTCATCACTACGATATACACTGAATTTCGTATATTTAAAGGATCACTGGATATTTTATAAGGAATATGAAGAAAAATGATTTCAGATTAGTTTTTATAATAATTAAACAAAAAGATAATTTAGTATTTTTTTCCAGAGAATTGCAATTTTTTCCTTTTATAATTGAAAAACATTTTTAATTTTTACAGTTATGCGTTAAATATGGAAAAGTATATTATAGCTTCCTATAAAAATGAGAAATTTTGAAATCAAGTTGATAAAATATCATTATAGAAATTTTTCTAATTAATTTTTTTCCTGATGAGTTTTGTATTACAATTCTTCTACATTAATACGAGTATTATTGTCACATCGAAATTCTGATTGTTCCTAATACATACGTTCTATTACGAGGAGCTCATAAATATGAAAATTTTTAATATGAAATCAATCATTCGTTGTACACGTTGCTTTAGTTATTTCTGCAATTTATATTCAATATCGGTTTAGGATTAAATGTTAAAAAATTTTGACTGCATATGTGCAGAAAGAGCCGACGGAAAAACTTCCACTTATTTTCAGATTGAACACGTTTTTAATATAATTAATTTTGTTCATTTGATAAATATCACTAAATATATAGGTTAACTTAATAACATCAAAATATTTGTTGTAGTCTAAAATATTTTAACTGTTTTTCGAACGAATGATGTTTGTGGGAATATTTCCGGGTCCGAAGCTTCGACAAAGTATTTAATTATCGGAATATGCTGGAAGACTTGCCCAATTTAACTTAATTTAAATTTTAGTCTTAGTAGAAAAGTGAGACCCACCAGAATCGGCAACCAACAAATTATCGCAACCAAAACCATCTACCGGAACCGATCAATCACCTTAACGAATTTCAAAAGTTTCGTCAAACATTTATTATTTTCACTATAGCGAATGGTATAGTAAAAATAATGAATACCATTATGGATAAATATTCAGGTCTCGTCCAAATAAGTTCCCTCTTACAGGTGTATATTGAGTGAGTCAGTTATATTACGAATTTAATATTTAAAAATTAGTGCAAATTACTGCTATATGGAACTAAAGGAATCTTAAAAAATTTGGTGCAAAGTGAAATTATTAATGTTGAGTGTCGATAAGAGCAATTGCCAAACAATTTTGATTTTTCTCTCTTTATATAGATATGTTTTTCCTCTTAATCAGATTCAATTTTGTCGAACAAGCAAAACAAAATATTTTGTAATCAAGCAATATTAATATCAAATGTATTTAATAAGAGCATTAAAATCAAGCTTCGGTTGAAGAGACCGAAGAATATTTCACCACGAACAAAACCTTAAATTTACAAAATTATAGTTGTATTTTATAAGATATTCGTTTTTTGAAAATTCAAGTGGATACCATGCAGAGCTTCAATGTGGAACTTATTTAATTATTTATTTTTAATTTAAAAACTATGAGGGATCAAAAACAATATTGTGTGGAGGGCTTTAAATTTCCTGATCTATTGATTATCTTCAAAACAAATTTCTTATTAGTACTCTATTTTGCACAACTCCGAAATTATTAGCATATATTTATACGAAGGAAAAATCTGGAACCGAATTTTTTCAACAAACTATATAAAATTGATCAAAAAATCTTTCCTGAAATTATTTGCAATATTATGGGAACCACTCTGTATTTATACAATTTTTAAAGATGTTGTAATAATTTTAAATGGAAAATGTTTGATAAAATTTTAAAAAAACTCACCTTTCAATAATAAAATAAAGAATAATAATTGCTTTATTTGTGGAAATGACAATATAGTTGATATCATTTTAAATTTTAAAAATAATTTTAAGAAAATAATTTCCTCCTCTTCAATAATTTCAAATTGAATTTATTTCAAGAAAACAATAAAGGTCTTAAATTAAATTAAAAATTAATTAATTGAGATGAATGCATTTTAAAATTTTGTTATATTTTAATTATAAAAAGTCAAAAATTAAATAGATTTTATTAATTAATTAAATAAAATTATTATTAATAAATTTTTAATTCATAATTTTTAATTCAAAATTAAATTTAAATCTTAATGTAAACATTCTTTTTCTCTAAAGTTTAAGAAATCCTTTGTAGTTGTATTTTATATTCCACTTAAATTTTATATAAAAAATATTAAAAACCAAAGTAATTATAATTTTAATTTTAATTAAATTTCAAATTTAATATTTTATAGTTTTGGAATTTTTTTAACACGCACAAATTTTAAATAAGAATTTCTTTTTTTTAAGAACCACACACACCAAAATTAATTGAACAGCCACAAAAAAAAAAATTTATTTGCTTACGACGAAAAACCACTGAAATTTTCGAAATTAAGTTTTCCAAATTCTTTTTTAGAAAAAGATTTTATTTTTTTTTTAATAAATTTTCACTTTTTCACTTTATTTTTATATTTCATCCTTTTTTGAGTCCTTATGCAGAGAGGGTAAGCTTGAAAATATTTAAAAAAAAAAATTTTTATTTTAAAATTTTTCCACTTTTTTTTTTTTGATTTTTTGTTTCTCTTCTTATTTTTTCAATTTTGGATGACCTGTTGATCCTGTCTGATATTAAACTGAGGTTTAATTTTCAATTTACAAAGCTTTTATACTTTTTATATTTTTTTTACCGTTATATTTCGCGCAATTTCTTCTTGCTGTTGTTGTTGTTGTTCTTGTTTTTTTATAACAATATTTTGTGTATTTGAATATTTGTGTTTTTTTTTTTTTTTTTTTGACACCTTTCAACATATTGTCATGACCGTTTTTATGATTTGTTCTTTTTTCATCATTAAGAGTTTTGTTTCATTTCATTTTATTTCATTCATATTCATGATGGCACTAGGATTCATTTTTGTAATAATATTTTTACACAATATGTACGTATATATATGAGTAGATTAGGTATTATGTTAAAAGTTTACGATAATAAATATATCGTATATATTACAAATAGTGTTAGTTCTGTTGTTTATGATATTTATACGTTTAATAGCAGAGTATTTAAAATGAAAAGATATGCTTATAGAAACTGATATACTTGTTTATATTATTGTATAATAAATGTATATAATAATATGTATATATGAATGACTATGTGAGATATAAAAGCAACTATGGTATACTAAAAGAATCATATACACACACACACATTATGAATGCGTATAGATAGAATGTGAAACCTTATTTGAGTGCGTTTAGAATATTGTTGTTAACAAACTTGTTTTTTTTTTTTGGGAATTTATGCTTTTTTATATATATCTTGCACAATGTTACACGGCGTTTACGTTACAATATATTGTATAATAGCGTTTTTTTTTCTGTTCTATGACACTATAGTAATCCATGTAAACTAATTTGGAAATTTGGAACAAGCACCTATATTGTATATAAGAAGAGGGAGAGAGAAATTTATTCCATTAACTGATTCTCTTCATCAATATTTGCAATACATTTTCTAGAAAAGTTTTTTGAGGGTTTCTTTATTAAGTCTGTAATAATTACACACAGATATTCTTCTTCTTGTGCTGCAAATCCAATCCTATTACTGTATGGCATATTCTTCTCTGTATCTGGCACTGTCGATTAATTCCCATTAACATCCATATAATTATTCAGTTTCGAGCATTTCGACCTTTGCTTCCTGCCAATATTTCTTTTGCCTTCGATTTTTCATTCAATAATTAGCTGGAGTAACTTATATTTAGGATCTCCTGTTTTTTGAGTAAAGTAAGTTATTTCTCAGTATTTGATTATAGGAAGCCTTTATCCAATAAATATTTAGCCTTTTCAGAATTTCCAGATTTTGTGAGTCTGCCAGTATAGAAAATTTTCAAAATTCTTTGATCACACCACATTTCATAAGCTTCTAATATATTTAATATCAACCTCCATTATTCTATTCCACATAAAAGTACGATCGTAGGTCTGACAACGCAGAAAAAAATAACCGGTGTCTCGCCAGTCGCCACTCTAAGAAACTTCTCAGAGCGCTTGTGTTCGTAGTCTTCCTCAGCTAATGATTCATCACCACTCTAAACATTTCCTTTCCCATTCCTTCCTTCTAAAGAGTTGGTTCTAGTTTCAAAATAGATAAGCTCGTCCCTTTTCTATGCTTGTTTTGCTGACTATAAGTCCTGAACACAATATCTTACAAACCCGCACCTTTGATGCCGCGTTTTATCTGTGTTTACAATAAAAAGAAATCAAAATAGCAAAATTTCGGAACTTTGAAAACTTATTTTTTATTTTATCTCAAATTGTTAAAAAAAAGGACATTATAATTATGTTTTAAAATTTTTCTAGCCTTAAGATACGAATAGCACAGCACTTCTTTCTCAATTAACTTAAAGTACAAAAAAAAACACAAAAATCGGAAATTTAAAAAGTTTAAATTTTTATTTTTTTTTATTCTTTGATTTTCCTACAACTAACAAAAAAAAATTGATAAATTTTGATTTTGGTTTTTTTTTATTTCCTAAAAATTCTTTTAAAAAAGTGTAGGCCTAAAATTATACTAGTTTGTGTGGTAATGTATCAGGGACGATTTTAGTTGTTGTTTGAAAGTTTAAAAGTTATCAAAAAAAAATTCAAGACTTTCAACTACAGAGCCAAATGGGGGGGTGTCACTGCAATTAATTAGAATATCATATGAGAATCGACCATTTGCAACTGCTTTACGACTGAGTATAGCACACGAAAAACTCTTTTCTCTTTAAGATTCAAAGGTATACATTCTTGCAGAGGATATATTGAATTCTCGTCCGTGTCCTAACCTATAAGTACTCTAGCCACTCTCGCAGGTGTATATCCTCAGTAGTATGTATTTCATTGATAGAACAGTGAGAACTCTCTTCCGATTCTTCGGCAATGCAGTAACTTCTTTAAACTGTTTCTAAAACAATTGGCTTAGATTCTCAAATTTTCGGATTTAAATCTATATTGTGTCCCGCCGCCATTTTATTGATCGAATGTTGATTACCTTGTACATTTTTCGGTATCCGTCACTGAAACATTGAAAGAATTTTTTTTTCTCAAAAAACAAAATTTTTTTACTTCCTAAAATATATTTAGGTAATTTTATTTTAAAAATTCCAAAATTTTTTAAAACATTTAAAATAATTTTTAAAAAAACTTAACGAATCGTAACGTTTCTTTAATGAAAATACAAAAAAAAAAATTAACTTTTAAAAAGAAAGGGGGATGGGGTGGGAAAGAGGGGGAGGGACTTCTTAATTGTTTTAAATGTGTGACATGAACAAGGTCATTATAATATATTATAAGTGTTATACATTTTTAAAGCAATCTAAAATAATAGAATAAATGTTCCCTTATAAAATTTTAACATTGAAAGCTGGAAGATTGACTTGCAATATTCAGCAGTAGAGCACATCTGAGCTTATTCGGTAAGCTGCACACTGTAACTGAATAAGTCTAATAGGAAAATATTCTTAAATCAATAATGATTGGATTTCGGTTCGATATTTTTAAGTTAACACCTTAGAGCACTTAAAGACTTTTATTAGAACATTGAATATAAAAATTTCAAACTCAATTATCCCCCTATTTCACACTGAAAATATCATATATGTATGTATAATCGCTATACATAGCTATTACAAATAAAATATTCCTTTTAGTTTTGAATATTAAATTTATATTTTTTTTTTGTTTTGTAAAAAACTTTTCTTTGCTGCAGGATGACTTTTCATAATATAGTTTTGATTTCTTCTACAAGATTAAATCAACAAATCACTTGTGTTGTTTTATTGAAAAATATTAGTACAAAGTTGAAAATATAGAAGAATAATAGAATTGTAAAAAAAAAAGTTGATTAACCGCGAAATATTGCAGATATAGATGAAAATCTGTTACACGTAGACCTACATACTATTTTGTACATACATATAGGTGGAATAAATGCGTTCAAAATTTATCAAGTGCAAGGAGAAAATTAAAACATCAATTTGATATTACCGCACTCAGTTTTGGTTCGTTTGTATATTAAAAATTTATTCTTGAGGAAGACGGAAGAAACAGTTTCGCATTACGGCATTCCTCAGTAGTCTCCCAGCTACAATTTGATTTCCTTTCAAACACAACGCCAAGTTTGCTCTTAATGGCAGACATTAACAATTCACAGAAATGGTTTGCCTTAATCTCAAAAACCCTCTGCGCCAAACCTTCAACAATTTCGTGCCGCAGCATCTAAACTATTGTTACTCTGTTTGTTAATGTCAGCTCAACCAGTGCGAGGACATTTCTCCAAATTAGCTTAGATGTGACCTAAACAGATTGAAATGCTGACAATGCCGCTCTGCTGTCTAAAAGCACATAGATGCGGTGTGGCTTTCATATCCTCTTTTAATTTCACTCTCAGGTAGATCTTTATTAAATGTATTTCATTAAACACCAAGCAATATGGCCCAAGATTTCGCGCATATTGGGAAACACTATTTGATTATCCAAAGAGCGGGGTCGTTTTCAACGAAAGCTCTATGAGTGCTTTTCCCTGTGATATCATCCCCAGTAAGAAGTCGATAGGTTGTTAGCCGAGCTTTCCGCACAATATAGAGATGCAACTATAACACACTACGTTTAATTGCTCTTTCAGTCAAAATGTTTTACCAGTGTTTTTTGGTAGTTATAGTGCAAGAATAATCTATATTTGATTTTTTTACATGGTAGTTCCGTATATTGTTGAAGATTTCCGAGTTGAACAATATAGCTTCTCCTTACGAAGAGTATTTAGTGTAGCAAATACTTTCTTAAAACATAAATTTTAAGAAGAACCTTTCATCATTTTTCTTTGAATTAATTTGATAAACAAATTACTCTCATATTTCACCTTTGCCTTTCATCTAC